CAAGTCTTTCCTGGTGCCCAGTTATCACCACGTTCCTGAACCGCTTAATTTGTCAGCTTTGATGTTGTATCAGTCTGACTTTCCTTTATACGCTTTTTGCAGCATAAAATCATTTGCAACTTTTCTTGTTCATTCACTTTTTTCCTTTTGCTTATTTTACATCCTTAAACAAACCTATCAGCCCGTCTACGATCAACCAGCAGCCGCACTGTGTTCAAACATTTTTCAGCACTTCTGTGTTGTCACCACTATTCATAAAGGCTAAAAGCAGATAAACCGGGGAGAGTTCTCCATACTCTTTCTGCTACAAATTATATTTTCTGACACGTATACAGAAAATACAAAGTAATTCTGGCATATTTAAAAACATTAACATTATAAATGAGTTATTTAATTAGTTAATTAAGGATTGGTCATGCTCTCTTTCATCATTAATATGATCAGTCACCATGGTAATAGCCCTTTAAAGAACTGAAAAACTATCAGACTCAAGATTAGATAAGAGTCCTGGTTACGACTTTAATATATAGTTTCTTAAAATGCGCTTGGTTGTTAAAGACACTAGTAGCTGCTAAGTCTCTGAGGATGTTAATCAAATGACGTCTTGTCCTGCACTTATGTCTTGCGCATGTGTGTTACGGTCCTTCCTCTTTCAAATTCCCTGCATCCACCCACAGTTGGTTTGACTAAACTGTGGTGTCAGGTGACATGACTCTGGGGGAAAAGAGTGCTAAGACAGAAAAGTGTAGAGCAGCTGAGGGTGAGATGCGCTGCAGGGTTATAAAAGTGCACCCCAGGAACGACCCTTAGATCCTGATTATTACAGACAGGAGGGTTGATAAAGCTGGAACATCTGCCTCTGCACACCTGACAGGCCTCAGGGCAACAGGTTCATCAGCATCACAAATTTTCTTTCTATCGGCTCAGGAATTTGAAACATGCACACTAGCTCCAACCACAGCCTGTAATATACATCTTGAATGTAGCTCAGTGCCCTTTCAGTTTTCACTAAATAAGGAAGTTGGTGATCGATTTCCCTTTTTTTCTTTATTGGAATAAAACTATATGATAAAAAAACCAAAAAAACCAACAGTCTGGAAAAAAAGTCTGGAAACTTGTCGGCTGTTCTGCCGGTTCACAGTTTTTCATTGAATTTGTCATCAGCACATTTTCTTTTGTTTCTTTTGTCACTAAAGTCCACCTGACAGATCACAACGAACAATGTGCCAATTTTCAGCACTTTGACGTCTCTCCACAGACATCCATCACTCGCGAGGCTTTCTTTAGTTGAATCTAATAAAAATGTTAAAGGTAACCGTTTCACAGACATGAAATAAGATTTTAGCATCAACAAGGCGATTCCAAAAATAGCTGTTAGCTGAAAATGTGGCACATCTCTGCATGCTGTGCAGCGTTCCCTTAAAACTCTGAGGAAGTGGAGGGCAAACAAAGAAACGGCAGGCATAAAAACTATCTACAGCAGATGAACAGCATGTGAAAGTCACGTGCTTAACAAATACGAAAAGAAAATCCAGCAAAGACCTGATACGGAGCCTGAGAGATGCATCAGAGCCTTCAGTTCATCCTTCAGCTGAGTGGCTGTCAGGAAGACAGGATCAGGGAGAAAAGACTGAGGTATACCAAATTACACAGAACTGGACTGACAGTCAATGGCAGGGAGTGAAATTTCAGTTTTCTCGAAGCAGTTTTTGATAACTTTAACAGAGATCGGAACAAAAGATATTTCCACAGTACTGTCCTTTTTTTCTTTTAACAAGCTTGGAAATCATTGGGGAGTCTGTCCTCTCAGACACGCTGCCATCTGCCAGAAGGGGTTTTCCTGCGAGGCAGAGCTCGTTCTTTTTTAAACACACACCCACACACCAAGAGAGAATTACACTTTCTGCATACTGTATGTATTAACTCATACATATCTCAGGGTTGGAGCCTATATCTATATATATAGCACATAGTAGAAAGTGCTTTATATGTCTATATTTTTAACAAAGTGCAGAAAGATCAAAGCAGTGCTGTCTACGGATTGAACATTTTTCCAACTTGATGTTTTTGTGGATATATTTATAGCAGAAATCTGAAAGCTGAAGTACTGTGATGTTTACTGATTGTTAGGAACTAAGAAACAAGAAAGGGATTTTTGGCTTGACAGAGACATTGACAGACATTGAGCTGGAAAGGAGAGCGATGAGTGAGATGAAAAGATGGAAGGAGTACTTTTAGGACTTCATGAATGAGGAAAATGAGAGAAGAGGACAGATGGAGGAAAGTGGATTAGTAAAAAGGAAGTGAGGGAAGCTTTGAAGAGGATGAAGAACGGTAGCTGGTCCAGCTGAATCTCTGTACTTCCACAGGTGTGAGGATGTCTAGGAGAGTGGTTGTTTAACACAATATTGAAGAATGACAGGATTTCTCAGGAATGGAGAAGAAGTGTTTTAATACTGAGTTTCAGGAATAAGAGAACTGTGGTAACTGCACAAAGCCACACCGCGAAGATCCAGAAAAGAGTCCTGGAAGAAAACAAGTACTGACAAGGTCAGACGGCACTTCACTCTGTCTTTGTGAAAAAAGGACATAACAGGGAGAAGAACTGAGGTAGACATGAGTGGCAGAGAAGTATGTGAGTGTGGTGGACATGGATGAGGACAGGAAGACAGTGGTGAGGTGTACAGTAGGAGTGACAGATGGAGGTTGGATCACATCAGAGATCAGCTCTGAGCTCATTCTTTGTTTGCAGCAGTGATGGACAGGCTGACCGGCAGGAGTGTCTGCAGACGATGACATTGTGACCTGTAGTGAGAGTAGGGAGCAGGTGGTAGAGACGCATTAGAGGTGGAGGTATGAAAAGAAAGCACACCTCCAATACATGAGTTTGAATAAGAGAGAAAGTTTAAACACCTGGGCACAGAAGAGGTGAAGAAGAGAGCAGGCAGACAAAGTTAGAGAGGTGAGGTTTAGATGTTTTGGACATGTGCAGAGGGCAGATAGTGAATATACTGGACAAAATAAGTGAAATAGTGAGCTGCCAGGCATCTTGGAACATAATAAGAAACATCCGGCTCACTCGTGATGGTGATATTTGGATCTCACAGCTGCCCAGCTTCCTGCCCAGGTGATATTACAGCTTATGTGGCAGGAATCCACTGCAGGGTATCTTTTGAAATGGAAATATCAAAAACATCCAAGAGACTAATTAATAATTTCACAAGAGGCACCTCAGTCTCGCAGGAAGCCAATTGCCTCCCCCGGGATTAGACAAGCTCATGTGCAGAACATAACAAGACAGGCGTATTTTTGCTAATACAAACCCTGTTTATAAAATAAGAACGCTGTCAGTCAGAATAAAGCTGGTTACATAATAACAGGCAAAAACAGAATGATGCAGCACCGTGTCAATTTTGAAAACAAAAGTCAGAAATACATTTAAGGTGGTGCCACTTAAAACACACGTTTCAAGTAGGATGAAAAGCACTGTCGTGTTTTGATCTCCGGTCTAGACTTTTGGGACAGCCGTCCTTGCCTGAGGATTTAAGAGTCTCTGTTTGTTTGTTATGCACGTTCTTGGACACTGAGCAGTTACCTCAGGATGTGTGCATTTAGATGAGACAAATCCAGGGACAAGAAGTTGCAAAAAGGCAGACTGTGATGCGGAGCGCAGCGGTTCAATGTCGACCAAAACTGCCAAAAGAAAAGGACAAAAGCTGTAACATGGAAAACACTTTAAGCTGTTCTAGAGTCATCATTTCAACCTTTACAGATCAAATTAAATTTCATCCCAGCTTTGATCACCTTACCACAACAAATTAGCTTAGGACTTTTTTCCTACAGGCGCATTCATCTTATCCTTTCAGATGAAGCTGGCAGAAAATACACTGACTGTTTGCAAAAGGAGTAGAAGAAGAAGTAAAATTAGTATGCTGTCTGTGTTCCTGCCTTTGTTGTTCTCCTGGGCCTTGTTGTGTGTGATGGCAACATTTCTTCCAAAAATACTGATTTTAGTTAATAAACTTTAACAGCTGTGACAATGAGAAAAACACATAATGAACATCTGAGGATGCTGAAGCTTTGCTGAAAACAAACAACTGATTAGACCTGCAAGGAATCGATTTGATTACTTCTTCCAAGGAAGTTACGTTTTTTTGTGTGCATGCGTGCATGTCGTTCACTCTGTAAACACGATAGCTCGAAAAGTTTTCAGCAAATTCTGATGAGACTTTGTGGTGGTGTAGCAGGAGGACGTGTTAACGGGCCATTAAAATTTGGTTTACAACTTCACAATTTGTTAGTTGAAAACAGACAAAAACTATGATTCTTATAAGTGTGGTGTATGTTAGCAACATTTGGAAAGTATTGTATAACTATTAAAATATATCCCATTTGACCTCTGACCTCTCAGTAGATTGATCTGAATCTGATCTGGTCAAAATGATAATAATCCTATGAAGCTATTTAAAACTATATTTCTTACTGTCATTGTCTGCATTGGCATCACAGAGGCATACAGGGAATGATATATGGAGATTCAAAATATCACATGACCTTGGACCTCTGACCTCTTTTTCAAGGTCAAATAAGATCAAATTTTCTTAAAATGTGTTTGACCTTTAAACTTAAAATTCCTTTGGTTGTATCGCTGACAGTTAGGAAATGATACTGCTACAAGAGGATTCTAAATATCACATTATACTTTGTATCCAAATATCATTCCACATTTGACCTCTGACCCCTGATCTGCCTTTTATATTTCACACCTGTCAGTTATGTCAAGTATAATAAAATGGATACTCCAGCTTCCTGCCACAGTTCAAAGACACTCGGTTAGTGGAGTTGAGTTAACTGGCGATTATAAATTTCCCAGAGGTGTAGCTGTCTGTCTCTCTGTGTCAGATTGGAAACCTGTCCAGGGTGCATCCTGCTTCTCGCCCTGTGGTAGCTGTACTATAGTTGTGTCTACTGAAAATCTCAGATGAGTTCAAATCCCAGTGACTTTGGCCTGAAGGTCAGATCACTGATTCGTAGCACTAGTGGCAGACAGTCATTTTTTCCACATTAGCCTCCACTAGAAGCAGCACCATGAACGCTCCTATAAAAGGGCTACAAGCATCACAAAGGTCATAAACTGTTAATTTACTTCCTCTTGCTTCCTTTCGGCGTGAGCTTTGTCTCCTTGTCGTTCAGCGGCTCCAGCAATCTACAGTAAAAATTACCCACGTCGTAGAGTCGCTTTCACGCCGTGGAAAGCTGCTCGCTATTGATAGATGATAAAGACCGAGCCGTCCTTCCTGCTCCTTGGTTCTCTCCCCTCTGTCTCACCCTGAGTAATATTCCAGCTGCAGAGTGAGAAGTGCAGACTCTTAATGAGTTATTATAGTTTGATTAAAACACAGCTGTTAAATCTGCCTCCTGGCCAGACTGTCAATGAACGACCTCAATAACAGCATCGATCTTTGATCTCAATCGAAGAAGTCACCGTGTCTGCAGAGCTGCTGGTTGTGTGAAACCTTTTGTAAGACCAAAGACTGCTGATAAAAGGATTGCACTGAAAGTGAAGTTTTCTGTATCATCCTGTGTATCAGTTTTCAGTGCTACTGCACTAACATTGTTTTTACTAGGGGTGCAACGATACTCGTATCGATATTGAACCGTTCGATACAGAGCTTTCGGTTCGGTACGCATATGTATCGAACA